CCAAAATCAGGCTTTCTATATTCTGGTTTTGAGTTTCACGTTTAAATAAATTTAGGGCCCAAGCTCACCTCTTTTTTTTTTAATAGGCCAATTTAGTTTCATTTATTTATGTTGGTATTTTATACCGATAAAGCCAGAAGCAGATCTCAGAAAAGAGAATGTGTTTGATGCGCCAGAACCCTTTAGGGTTTGATAAAAGACTTGGTATCATAAGTAACATTGCCAGTTCTTTTATCCTTCTTACATAGTAGCGACAAGATTGAATCACCGTTTTTAGCTATCCTTCAGCAGAACTCCTAATCTATCAATGTGTCAGCTCAACAGCAGTTTTCTCTTCACACTAATGTGAACCGGAAGAGTCCAGCTATCACTGATTTTGACGATTTTATGTTATCCGAGATTGCATGTATTCCAGCAGTTTGAATAAAATGAATTAAAGGTCTTAGTATATTTTCCTAAAGATGTAGAAAACATAAAACATGTCAAGTAAAGCATTTTAAGCTCGTTTGTACAGGATAATATTCATAAGTTAGGTGTTTCATAAGCCTCCTGCTCCAAGCGCTATAAAATACTTGTGTGATAAATAACCAGTATAAGATCAACTCGGGGTCCTGTGTCTTTTCGTATGTCTCAGATTGCCCTCTATGCTGTTACATAATGCATTATAAAGAAAAAACATGCCTTCATTCTCTTTAAAATCACTCAGGCATTGATAGTACTAAGTCCTTCCTCCAAGTCCTTGTTATGCAAGTCCTTGCTACTGTTAATAGTTGTAAGTTCTGCACGGTCACTTAAAAATGAGGTAAGCATAGACTTTTTGTGAAGTTCATTGCATTTCTGGAATTTAGAATGAGTCAGTTCAGGTGTTTTGCTCCCTTTCTCAACCATAAACTACATTATTACGAACAAACAGGAAGAAAATCTCCTTCATTCCAATGTATCACAAACTAATCTGCTTTTTGTTTAATTGCTTCTGTAAGTATATTATATTTATGAGTATCGGTACGCGCTTCTCCAGAGTCAAAGCACAGTGGAATAGACCAAAATACAGTAATGTTTTGAATGTTGAAAAATATAGATATTTAACTAAGTACTGGAAAAATGCATAGCGTAATAAAAATCCCTGACCAATTAGCAAAGTTATTAGATAATAAAAATCCATATAGGCAGTAAGCAGTAAAATCTGTATTTTACATTATTAAGCAGCATTCAAGTAAAACTGATAGGATGCCTGTAAAGAACAGAAGGAATGATTTTTTAAAGCTATGATGTTCTGCATTTATTTGGGAAGTGAAATTTTCCTTGCCTCTTAATAAAGACATAAACTTAACAACAAACACTTCAAAGAATTAGATGTGTTGCTTGGTATTTAATTTTTCTCTGTCAGGCACAGAGTTCATGTGCAGAAGAAAATCAGGAGAAACCTAGTTCAATTTGCCAATATCATGTATCTTCCCAAGTAACCTCTCCTTTAACAAGGCCTCAGTTTTAAAGACAGTGAAACTAGAATATCTCAGAACTCATAATACTGGTTACATAAAGAAAAAATTCTCAGTCTACACATATACTACTTGTATATTTATACTACTTGTGTAAGTATACGAGCAGTAACTCAGTGACATGCCCCCATAACAGAAGAGTTTTGGTTTGTGCTCTCCAAATTGATTTATTAGTTTAGCAATCCTCTATTTTTTTTAACCTCTTTATTGGACTTGGAAATTTGGGGGACTATTTAATATGTTTATTTCCTTTCTACTAGTATTAATTTTAAAAGGTTCAACTATATTCTGTTCAGGTTTTGGTATGACTCATGGGAAATAATTTTTAATGCCTTTTGCTAGCAGTAGGTTGGGGAGGAGGAATGCACTCTAAAATAGTATACCTACTAAACTGTACTCTAGTGAGAGATTAAATAACAAAGAGCACAATGGCGGAGATAGGTCATTTGTCACAGGTGCTCATGCAGTTCTGTGTTTTGTTTTAAACGGGATTCATCAAACATGATAAAAGGAAGAAGCAGTTTATATCTGATACAAAGTTTTTATCCAAGGAGAATAAATGGGTTAAGTTTAAACTGTGGTTTGGAAATATGGGAAAACGTTGCTGGACAGTTGACAGCTTGATTTGGTAGCCAAAGTGGATGCAACTAAGTAAACTGGAAAATGCTATTTTTGCAGTTTCTGAACTATGTTACTTCAGTAATAGGAAGAAAAATGTATCAGAAATAAATTGCTATGCAATAGAGTTAATTTTGTTGCAAGATGCTTTTGTCTGTTAAGCACAAACATTTTTACTGCGAATGTCTGAATTGTGTAGAATATGAGGGGTACTGATGCTGTCAAAGAGCCTGAAATGTTGATGTCATAACGTCTGATACTTAAGTGGCATATACTGCTTTTACAATATTTCATAAATTTATAACATAAGTTCAGTAATAAAACTATGGAAGTGCTTGAGATAAGCACTGGTGTTATATTTATTTCCATTTTTTACCTAGGCTGATTACTATACGTAGTGAAGTAGAACACATGTAAGAAGGCCCAGGACGAAGATTACTTTACAAGGAGGATTTTAAAAATGAATATGGAACTCATTCTTAGCTTTTATTAGTTGCTATCTCTTTTAATATGATTTTCCCTTTGTAAGTTCCTTTCTATCTTCGTTCCCTGAGAAATAGCATGCCCCTGCCCCAAAAGGGAGAAATATAATGGCTATAATTAACTTCTGTTTACTGGCACAAAATAGTATTTCCCCTAAATGAAATACATGCATTATTCTGCTAGATTTTCAACTGTAGTTACATCAGCAATTTCTGAAAAAAAGGATAGTGATGGCCATTTTAATGCAGCCTACTAGAGTATAGTGGCTGTAATCTATCGTTTTTTTCTCTTTTGAACTGATAGTCAGATGTACAGAATTTTCAGCCTATCTGCTTTTATGTACCTGAAAGCTGATTTGGAAAATATATTTTTAATACGATGAATTTGGCATGTTAAGTCTGTGCTTCCTTTTGAGTTTTCTAAGTAAAGGCTAATTAAACTGATTATCAGAAAAAGCAAGTCTTACATAATCCAGCCTTCCATTTTTCTTCTCTCTGCCTCCCCCCATTTAGCTTTCATTTTCCTTTGAAAAATGAAAATTTTGAATCAAAAATTACTACTGCATTCTAGTTATATACACATTTCCATGAGACTGCATAGCTAAGATGTTTTTATGTATTGGGGAAAAGAAAGTAGTAAAAAAATATTAACTCATTGGGTTGGCTAAACTGTAAAATCACAGTAATCATTAAATACGGCATTATCTATTATGATGTACCTGTGAACCATGAAGTCTTTTTTTCTTGCATGGAGAATTAGGATACTTCTATTTATCCTTTATTCAGAATAAGAAAAAATAAGAACATCCTACCATTTTTTTTTACTCGTTGTAATGCTGATGCTCCTTCATAAAGAAGGTGGTTTTAATATTCAGCTTACAGAGGACAAGACATAATTGCTGCTGACAAAATATATAGCAAATGAATAAAAGCTGTGTCCAGCTAGAATAATTGCAGATTGCATCAATTAAAATGAATATTAAAATTTTATCCTAAATATGCTAACATGAAGTCTTACCCATAGGTGGCAGTCAGCCTTCACTGTAGTAGGGATGCCAAACTTTTGGTTCATGGTATTTCATCCTATGCTGAAATTATTTTGATGGGATATGCATAGGTACATTTACATATATACATGCATGTCTGTATGCTGGAAAAGAGGTAAAGAGGTAAAATAAACCCTAAAATTAATTAGTAATTTGGAGGAATCTGAATTCCTATAGATAAGCAAAATAATTTCTTTTTCTGGAGAAAGGATCCAGGTATTAGTTTTTAAAAGCACAAATAATTTTTTATCTATCCCTTGCTGACAACTCATCTAAAAGAAGTAATAGTAATATAGAAACAAGCAGGTGCCCCTACACATTCAGTAGAAAGACAAGCATCTTGCCAGCCTGGAAGAAAATAACCCCATACCATGCTCAATCCCCTAAACTGCATTTTTTGTTTCATAAACTATTATCTGTAAATTACAGAAGTGCTGCACTGATGACATTCTGCTCTAGAAATCCCAGCAATAATCTCTCTTAAGCGAATAAATAAAGAAAAGATACTCGGAGAAAGCTTATCCTTTCGGATGTGGAGAGTGAATCTGTACACTGCAATTCCCTTTCTCTTTGCAGAGCTTCCATTGACACCAGTGGCAGCGCTGCACAAGAGGAAAATGCTGCCTTCGAGAGCAGAGATCCACTCAATTTTGCCCTCAGCTTTTTTAGGGCTTTACGTGGTTTATGAGGATTTCCTTTTGCAATATAAGTAAGGAGGCACTTGGGACCCCACCAAAACTGGAGGGGATAGGAAGAGCTAATAAGGCCAAGTCGTCTCAGTCTAAAACAAACAGAACTTGTGAAACTACACACGTGACATGCTAAAACCATGGCGCTCTTGTGAGAAAAGAAGACAAAACTAAAATTCTCAAGCAGGTAAAGTCATCTTCTTTTTACTATTACAGCTTTTTACTTCTTTTCAGTTAAAAGAAATCTTATTTTGTGTAAAGCTAGATCATTGTATGCATTTTAACAAAGGTCATGAACTAGCATTTTACAAAGTGGAAAATTTTAAGAATATACAATTATTTGTTGTTACAGGTGTACTTTAATGTGATGCAAGATTAAGGGCTCAGAATTGAACAGAATGGTGCAAAACTACTAAAGCAGAAGGCCTAATTCTACTTATGCAAGAGTAGCAACTACACACACGGTTGTATAAGCAGAAGCAGTCGGTATGATTTCATAGACAAATAGGTTATTTCCAAATATATGCAACCACTACATGCCTAATTAGACACTTGCCCATGCACAGCCCCATTTGTTCCCCAAATACAATAATTATGAGGATTACACTCTACATTAATTTACACTCTTGTGTAATGCAATTGAATACAAGATAGCAGGTGGTGATAAATTTTGGCTGATGGCAAATGTATAAATTTGATACACATTTTGAAAATGAAAGCTTTCAGGCTCAGTTCTGATCCTGACATAGGATACAAGACTGGAGAAGACCTCCTGAGCCATAGGGTCCAGCCCCAGGTATTGCAGACAGCCATGTCATACTATCAAACTTAGTTATAGAGATATCAAACACCATCTTGGAGCTACAGTTGTCATAAGGTTGCTCCTCATTTCCTCTGAATGGTTAAAAGTTTCAGATTACTTGAATTCACAACCAGTTTACACTGTCATATTTTTGTGACATGTTTGACTCTCTAAATCATCTTTCTCTCCATATAAAGTCCCTTCCATTCTGTCACCCCTTGAGTTTTCACAGAGGACTGCCAAAACCTTCTCAGACTCAGTTTTGCAAAAATAACCATGCTGTACTTGTCATAAAAGAGGATGTCTTTCCCCAGCCATTCTTCTAACCGTTCTCTTGAGTATTTTTTTTAAACGTGCATGATTAGGAGTATACATGGTACTCCAGATGAGGTCTCATCAGGGCCTTTTATTGTGTCACAGATACCTCCCTGTTCATGCTAGAAATGCAGCAACTAATATTTTGGTGTGTTTTTATCTTTTTTTTTTTTTTCAGAGCTACATCATATAAGCATCTCACAGTCCTTGGGGACTGACTGAAACAGTCAGCTTCCCCTTTTTTATGGCTGTTGAGAACAAAAAGTTCTTCTTATCCATTTCTAAGCTTATGACCTTGAACTTTGCACTATGATGCATGACAAGGGTGTCAAAATGCTTTTTATAAGAGGAGCGTCATCAGTTTCATTTAACCTATAGGCTTCCTGTGAATTTTTTGGCAGATTTGTCCAGATTTGTTCAGGAATCTCTTCTACACTTTGCCTAACTATGGACGTGAGCTGATACACACACATGATACGGTGCTGTACTTTACAGATGAGCTGATGTAGATCATGAAGCAGGGTTGTGTTTGTGTGTTTGTGTGTTTTTTGTTTTTTATTTTTTAACATCTGGCTGGTGTGGCACAATCTATTCTTCAGAGAGTTTCGTGGCATTTTTCTCATTTTCCATTTATCCTATTTTATCCTATACTTCCTTGCCTCCAAATTGTTGATGATAAGCCCCATTTTTTCCCCTCTTTTAAACTCCAATTACTTCTAATATTCTGTTTGAGGTGGCGGCTCTGCTGCTTGGATCTAGAGACCAGTCTGCACAAGTTTACCCACGCAGAAATTTAGAAACTCCGTTTTGCTAGTGTATTTCCTTAAATTTTCAGCATTTTCCTCTCTGGAACAATATACTACATTTGAGATCCAGTCTTATTCATCCTCCCATTCAGGTTAAAGTGAATTAATTCATTATCATTCATGTGTTATTTTTTCTTTAATTTCTGCATTGCATTCTAAGAAGAAATCAGCAGTAGTGCCATATCTTATTTATATTTTTTTAAATGAAAAAAATCTCTTGAGGAATAATGGAAATTTGCAAATAATAGTACTTGTTCTCTGACCTGTATTTCGAAAGTGAAAGTCAGACACCACTTTGAGTAGCGTTCTACTTAATAAAGAATAAAATTATAGCATGTTGTTATCACTGTCAACATAACCTTTGTCTACCAGGTTTCCCCAAAGTGGCTTTAAGTTTTGCTGATTATAGCCTTTCTTTTCTCTCTTGTTTCGTCTGTCCAGCTCATCAGTAACATAGAATGCTACTGCAGTGCAGTCTTTGTGACTACTTAATACCAAGCAGAGTAATAACACTTCAGTTTTCCTTGATGTCTGTCATCTTACCTTATAACTGTTGCCTCCTTATTAACCTGAATTTTTTTCTCCATTTGCATAAGAAACAGATTTGAAGATTGCAACAGATCTTTCCCTCCTCTCCCCTTATTTTGCTTTTAAACCCTTGCTACCAAGTGTAGCAGAAATGGGTGGCCTAGGATCACACGTAAGTGCAAATGCCTCGAAGCTTCCTTTAGGAGAGCAGTGCTTGAACCTTCGGTTGCTCTCCGTTATCTTGTTTTGTCTTCTTTACTACTGGCAAGTTCTGCTGAAACTCCATTGAGTCTATACTTCCCTGAGTGGCTTCCAAGCTATGGCAAAGTCAGGCGCAAACCCTTCCACCAGACACTTGCAGTGGGCTTCTCTCCATTCTTCGTGGCATCCCTTTTCACAGGAGACTCACATGTTAGACCTCCCGGCAGGCAGCACAATCTGCTCTTTTTTTGACTTTAGTCCGGTGACAATGTCTCAGTTCTTTCTAGTAAGGAGTTACTCGCTATATAGACCTGCCTCTGGCAAGTCAGATTCAACCTGAGTGAATTTCAGGTTTTCATCTTTTCATCTGCGTGTCTTCATTTCTATCTGTATTTCTTTGTATGTATCATATTTGCTATACAAGACATTATGGGAGAGAATAAGGGACAGGATACTCTACAGACAGAGAAGAGCAGAAATGAGAGTCAGCTGATACTAGGAAGCAAAAAGAGGCGAAGCGATGAGTGGGACAAGCTTAAAATGTCTCTTTACAGCTCTTGATACCTGTGGTAGATGTGACAGCTGGTTCCTCTGGCTCTAAATGCAGGTGGTCATTCGAGAAGACTACAGTTTTGAGCTCCTGTTTTGCCCGATATGTATGAAAAGTCATATATTTCCTTTGATGACCCAAGCACTCAACAAAAGTTGCTCAGGTTAGATGTGTTAATTTAGTGATTTCAGCTAAGATTCAGAGTCATGTATAGTGCCAAGAAGTATGCCTTCTGCAATTTCTGATGTTTTGATCAGCAATTCAAAACTTCCTTTGCAACCTCCTCCTACTTCTGAGTTTTGCTATGCACCAACTTCTGTGCATAGTAGCTAGTGTATGTATGTATTGCGTTCTGTTGAATTAAGAAAGTCTTCAGACTGGGTTCAAACCAGGATCTAATTTGCTGTTGGACGACTGGCATGCAACAAAACTGCAAAGCCATCTCTGGTGGAGCACCTTGCACACCAAGAGCGAGTCTGAAAAAGAGTCTGATCCTCTACCGCCTGCCCTTTCTATAGGACTATGGCTCCTGTCTACTCTGTAAACAACAGTTCCTCAAGGGCTACATCAGATACAGTAATTTCATTCACAAGGAGGTAAGAGTGGTAAAATACATTGCATTTTCTTTGAGGCGTTGTCAAAACTCATTTCACTTGTGTCCTTAGATAATCATGTCTGTAACACTTCATTCGAATTCATTCACCAGATTAATAAACACCAAAGCCAAAACGACACTGTTTTTTGTCTTTTCACCTCCATCTAATGGATGGAGATGAAAAAAGATGATCACTCACAGGGATGGTGGTGAAACATGGATTTTCATGGCATCTTTAGCATGTATACTGAGAAGACCATAGAAATAAGAGCCTCTAGATCCCCCAATGTACTGCTCCAGGATTTTCACATTTCCCTTCCAGTTCAACCAAGAGCTGGTCATAATTTAGAGATTTTATGAAGTCTGAAAGACAGACAGCATAGCTAAACAACTTGTAAGGTTGCTGCGAGTATAAAGGCATCTTTTAAAAAGCTGAAGTTATATCCAAATGAAGAAAATAGGAAAGAACATCCATCTGGCAGGTTGTATATGTAAAAACACAATTAAGTATATCAAAAATGAGTTTGAGAAAGAACTCATGAGCTAGCATGACACCAATTTTTAGAAATAGTTCTAGAGAAAGACTTAGGTAGTAGACCGTTAGGCCTGATGAGCAAGCCAGGCAAACTAGTTCAAGAGCAGAATCGGTGAACAAACAGATAAATGTGGCTTACAGGGAAAGAGACAGGCAGCTTTTGTAAAGGGAAGTCCTGTCTTGCAAATCCCTCTGTACGGAGAGAGGATATCTGGTTGATACACCTACATGGAATTAAAAAAGACATTCAACAGCACCTTTCACCAAATGCTCTCAAAGAAGCTAAGCCACCGTGGGAGGAGAGGCAGGTTCTCCCATGGACAAATAACTCATTAAAAGATAGGAAACAATGGACAGAAATGAATGATTAGTTTTCACAGTGATCAGAGATAAACAGCAGAGTCCTCTGGATGCTTCAGTGAGACTAGTGTTACTCAGCATACTCCAAAAGGTTTTGGGAAGGGGAAGAATAAAAGGTGCAAAGTTTGCTGTCAACACAAAGACAGCAGGAAGGAAGAAAGACATCATGAAGCGGAGTGACTGAGAAAGCAAATGGCAGATGCACTTCACTGTAGATAACGGTAAAGTGATGCGCACAGGGAAATAATGGGTTCTGAGCTGGCTATTACCGCTCAAGAACAGTATCGTGGGGTTATAATACGTAGTTCCATGAAAATAGGAACGCACTGCTCGGCAGTGGTCAAAAAACAGGCAAAATGTTAGGAATTATAAAGAAAGGGATAGGGGACAAAATAAAAAACATCCTTATGGTGCTGTGCAAATCTTTTCTGCAACTTTCCAAGTGCTGAACATGTTTATTTTACCTGACTCCCTTTAACATCAGTGCATAACAGC